CGACTTTGGGCCTGAGCACCTAGAAGGATGGGTTTGTCCTCTTCGGAGTTGGGGAGGATGGCGGGAGGAGCAGGTGTGGGGAGGAGTTTCAGGACCCCAGTTGGGACGTAGAGTGCACAGTGAGTTTGAGAGGATGACGTTGGGTATCCAGGCCGAAGCATTGAGAGGCCGGTTGGCCATCGCATGGAAGTGCTGAGCAGGCTCTTGCTGCATGAGTCTGGACTGGAGACAAATCTGGGCGTCCTCAGGAGGTGGATGGGGTTCGAGGCCCCAAGGGAATGCTGGGGGATAGAAAATGGCGATTGCCACAAAGACCCAGGGCGTTTTTATTTAATTTAATTTAAATAAATGTATTTTTATTGATTTCAGAGAAGAAGGGAGAGGGGGATAGAAACATCCATGATGAGAGAGGATCATGGATCAGCTGCTTCCTGCACACCCCCCAGTGGGGATCAAGCCCACCACTAGGGCATGTGACCCGACCCGGAATTGAACTGTTTGATCTCCTGGTTCATAGGTCGATGCTCAACCACTGAGCCACACCGGCCGGGCTCCAGGGACATTTTTCATTCTTCCGGCAGATGTTTGTGGGAGAGCCGGTGCCAGGTGCTGGGGCGCCACTGGGGAGCCACTGGGGAGCCAGCTGGAGCCTGCGCCCTGCCCTGGGGGAGCTGAAGTCAGGCGTATCTGCCTCGGCAATGGCCGTGAATGAGGCGCTCTTTCCCAGTGAACGGACACGTGTGGGTTGTGAGCTCCAAGGGCAGTCCAGAAGAGCGATGACAGCTGACCGTGGCTTCCATACCGGGTCTGTGTGCAAATTAGGAAAAGGCACCCCTTTCCCTGGCATAGTCCCTCTCCACACGTGGCTGTTTACACTTGGGATAACTGAAAATAAATAAGATCCTATTTTTTAAATTTATTTTTTACTTTCTTTGGCACAGGCTTCCTAGTACCTGGCACAATGGCTAGGGTATAGCAGGCACTGGGAGGGAAGGAACAGGATTTTAAAAATAAAAATAAAATTAGGTTCAAGACTTTGAGTCAGACAGGATATTTGTTCTTAATTTTCATATTAACAAATGAGAGAGATGGAGGTTCAGTACCTATCACCAGATCTCATAGCAAGAGCGAATGGGAATGCTAATACTTTCACCAACTTCACTGCATGCATAAATAAGATTTTTAAAAGTCTGTTCTTCAGTAGTGGTCACCACGTCTCCGGTGCCCAGCAGCCAGCCACCTGTGACCGGTGGCTCCCTGATGGGGTGCAGACCCAGATGTTCCCCTCGCTGTGGGGAGCTCTGTTGACCGTTAGGATGAAGGTCAGGTCTCCAGCATCTACAGTGCTGCCTCAGACCTGGCCCCTCTGTACAGTGCACGCCCGCCCGGCCATAGGAGGGCGTGCACTGTACAGAGAGGGCAGAGGGAGCGGGAACAAAGGAGGAAGAGGAGAAGCTCAGTAGTGGGAGGGAAGGAGGCAGGGAGGGGCCCGGGAGAGTCTCCCAACAGCATAGGCCAAGTCCCGGGCCGGAGGAAGGGATGCCAGTACAGCGGGTATTGAGGGGCCGGGGGTGGGGGTGTCAGGCTGGGGGGCTTGCAGGCCCCGGGGCAGAGCCTGCTCCTCGGAGGGCCGCCGTAGGAGCCGGGGGAGGGTCCGGGCAGGAGAGTGATGTAGTGGATCTGTGATTCCTGATCCATCACTTCCTGTTACCTCATCTCCGTGCCTCGGTTTCCACATCTGTAAGCGAGGATAGCGGAAGTACCATTCTCACATTGCGGGAATGTGTATGACATGCTTCAAAAGGCGCCTGATGCCCTGGCCAGTTTGGCTCAGTGGATGGAGCATCGGCCTGCAGACTGAAGGGTCCCGGGTTTGATTCCAGGCAAGGGCACATGCCCAGATTGCGGCCTCGGTCCCTAGTGGGGGGCATGCGGGAGACAGCTGATCAATGAGTCTCTCTCATTATTGATGTTTCTGTCTCTCTCTCCCTTCCTCTCTGAAATAAATAGAAATATATATATTTTTAATAAGAAGGTGCCTGACCCATAAGTGCTGCTTAATGTGCGCCATTCTGTTATTACTGTCACTTGCTAAGCTGTCCCCTGCTGCTGAGTAGGAAACAGATGGGCAGGGGCGGGGGCAGAAGGGCTGGGGGAGGCCATTGGGAAGGCTGACCTCACCCAGCCGGGAGGAGGCTATGGTGGTGTGGACAGGGAGAGAGCGGGGCGAAGGGGTGATCTGCATGGAGCAGGAACGGGGAGGTGGGGGTGAGGGGTGGGGGCGGGTGTTACTGTATGAGGGGAGAGAGCAGCCAGGGTCACCTGACATCCAGGCTTCTGGCCTGAAGCCCTGGTGGAGGTGGAATTCCCAGAGAGGAATCTGGCTCGCGGTGGATGTTTGAAGAATATAGATTTCTTGCCCTAGCCGGTTTGGCTCAGTGGATAGAGCATCTGCCTGCGGACTGAAGGGTCCCAGGTTCTATTCCGGCAAAGGGCACATGCCCAGGTGTGGGCTTGATCCCCGGAAGCGGGTATACAGGAGGCAGCTGATCAATGATTCTCTCTCATCATTGATGTTTCTATCTATCCTTCTGTCTTCCTCTGAAATCAACAAGGAAATATATATTTTTAAAAAAAGAATATAGATTTCTTTCTCCTCCAACTCTGAGGTTCCCTCAGTCTCAAACTGCAGCTCGGCACTGGGCACGGAGTCTTGATGTGGCTGGTGGGACCTGCTCTGTCAGCCGGGGCTGAAGGACTGAGACACGGCCTTTGCTTTGGCCTCCCGTCCTGGCCTCCCCAGGAGTTAGTTCAGGAGAGGATCCGTTGGGCATGACCCTCCCGGCATCACCGGCTCCCTGCTCCGTTGTCTGAGGCCCTGGGCCTTCCCACCCCGAACCATCGCCCGGTCATTCCTCCCACTGGACATGTGCCACTAGGCATCCAGGCAGAGACTTCAAAGGTCATTGAATCTGCCGAAACCGGTTTGGCTCAGTGGATGGAGCGTCGGCCTGTGGACTGAGGGGTCCCGGGTTCGATTCCGATCAAGGGCATGTACCTTGGTTGCCTGCGCATTTCCAGTGCGGGGGAGGGGGGTGGAAGGGGGTGTGTGTGCAGGAGACAGCTGATCGATGTTTCTCTTTCATTGATGTTTCTGACTATCTCTCTCCCTTCCTCTCTGTAAAAAAATCAATAAAATATATATATATTTTAAAAAGATCATTGAATCTAAGAGTCTGGCACTCAGGGAAGAAGCCAGGGATGATGGAGGAGAACTGGTTTTGTAGAGAGTGGGGATTTCTGAGCAGGCTCTCTCCTAGTCGACGTGGCCATAAATCCCAGCTGCAGCTAACAAGATAGCCTTACAGGGCAGATCCCTGTCAACTTTCCTGATAGCGGGAGGCAGTTACTCCACCAGGCGCCAGGACCCTATACATGACATGCTGACTTTACCCAAGAAAAACTACTGTGTTTAAATTGTTTTAAAATTGTTTGCTCTGCAAAAACAGGAGGCGGTGAATGGGTATAAATACGGACGGAGGCAAAGGGTCGGGGCTGCTCTTGGGCTGCGTGGAGAGAGAGCAGTCAGCCGGCCGGTTACTAAAAGGCTCCCTACATTTTAATTTGGTTCGGACTCCAGGGGTCGTTTACTTGCATTCGCTCCATAAAACTTTGAGACAGGAAATCCAAAATGGTGGTTTTATTGAAAGTTTGGAAATTGGGGTGGTGGTGGTGGTGATAGTGATCTGTAGGCGTGGCATATTGGGTTTGAGGTGATTGAGACATCCAAAAACAATTGTCAAATAGAGAGTTTATATCAGTTCATATAGAGGCTTAGCTGCTGTAACAAGCAGACCTCACAATCAGATGGTTTAAAGGAGGTGGGGGATTATTTCCCTCCCACTTAACAGCCTGGGGTAAATGGGCCAAGGTGCATAGGTCACCTTGTTCCACACACGTTTATGCCAGGACCCAGGTTCCTTCCAATTTGTTGCTCTGCCATCCCTCAAGGCCAAGGTCGGCAAACCACGGCTCGCGAGCCACATGTGGCTCTTTGGCCCCTTGAGTGCGGCTCTTCCACAAAATACCAGGTGCGGGCGCGCACGGACAGTGCGAGTGAAACTTCGTGGCCCGTGCGCAGAAGTCGGTGTTCGGCTCTCCGAAGAAATGTCAGTCATTGTCCTGTTGATATTTGGCTCTGTTGACGGATGCGATTGCCGACCACGTCTTCATCTCTGTGTGGTCAAAACTGGGTCACAGGTAGAATAGTGTTCTAAGCGAGCAGAAGCAGATAAGAGTGGGAGGTTCCGGGGGGGGGAGGGGTCAAGAATTGAGGGAGAGCCCTATCCAGTTTGGCTCAGTGGCTAGAGCGTCGGCCTGCGGACTGAAGGGTCCCAGGTTCAATTTCAGTCAAGGGCATGTACCTTGGTTGCGGGCACATCCCCAATAAGGGGCGTGCAGGAGGCAGCTGATGTTTCTCTCTCATTGATGTTTCTAACTCTCTATCCTTCTCCCTCCTCTCTGTAAAAAGCCAATAAAATATATTTTTAAAAAAAGAATTGAGGGGGAAGGTGCACCCATCAATTCTGTTCCCATTCTATGGTCTTCGTCCCCCCCTGGCCACACCTTACCTCAAGGGAAGCTGGGAAATGTAGTTTATTTGGGCAGTCAGTCCATGGCCACCTTTACTTTCCTTCCTGTGGGAGGGCAGGGGAATGAGTGCTCATGCTCTGGAGGTGGGGATTGAGTCTGGAGCTTGGAGGAGAGGTCCAGGTTGGAGAGGTGAGTGGGCGGTTATCCGCAGGAGAAGGTTCTATAGGCATAGGGATGGCGAGGCCTGTTAGGGCAGGCGTGAAGAGAGAGGGGGAAGAGAGGTCCAGAGCCAAGCCCTGGAGTACCCCACCATTTAAAGGATGGGGCCAGGAGCATCAGGAAGTTTACCCATGATCCCTCGCACTGTGACCTAGCCTGTTTTTTTTCCTCTCTGACCCTCTCCTCAGGCTTTATATGACCCCATCAACCCGGACAGGGAGACCCTGGACCAGCCTTCACTCACGGACCCCCAGCGCCTGTCCAATGAGCAGGAGGTGCTTCTGGCGCTGGAGCCCCTGCTGGCCCAGGCCAACTTCTCCCCACTCTCCGAGGACACCCTGGCCTACGCTCTCGTGGTTCACCACCCTCAGGATGAGGTCCAGGTACCCGTCTCCCAGGGAGAACCAGCACTCCCAGGAGGCCTTGGGGCAGGGGCGGGGCCGTTGGGGGAGGCAGACGCTGCTGGGAGTTGGGAGTCCTGGACATAGGACACTTGCCCATGGGGCACCTTTGGTGAATTAGAAAAAGACAACTCTTTCCCAGGTCACTTCACTGCCCTCTGTTGGGAAAGTGTCACAAAATACGGATCTTCTTAGAACTAAAGATTTTATTACCAGCTGCCAGAACATTGTAATGATAAACAATACAAAATGCTCAAAGTCAACAAAATTATAATGAAAATGCTAACATTTTCCAAAGTTCCACATTTTTGGACTTTAAGATGTATTTTTTTTTTTTTTAATATTTTATTGTCACCCTAACCAGTTTGGCCTGCGGACTGACGGGTCGCAGGTTCAATTGCAATCAAGGGCATGTACCTTGGTTGGGGCACATCCCCAGTAGGGGGCGTGCAGGAGGCAGCTGATCGATGTTTCTCATCCATGTTTCTACTTCTCTATCTCTCTCCCTTCCTCTCCGTAAAAATCAATAAAATATATTAAAAATTATTTTATTGTCTCGGAAATTGGAATATGACTTATAAGTAAGTAGTGATGTGATATAGTTTAATTGGCAATATATTTCCTCCTTTAATTGCTTTATAAAATAATGGAGTAGCCCTAGATCAGTGGACAGAGCGTTGGCCTACAGAATGAAGGGTCCCAGGTTTTGAGTCCAGTCAAGGGCACATGCCCGGATGTAGGGCTCAGTCCCCAGCAGGGGGCGTGCAGAAGGGAGACACCCAATGATTCTCATCATTGATGCTTCTATCTCTCTCTCCCTTCCTCTCTGAAATCAATTAAAAAAATATTTAAAAAAAAATAATAATGGAGCTGAAACTGGTTTGGCTCAGTGGATAGAGCGTAGGCCTACAGACTGAAAGGTCCCAGGTTTGGTTCTGGTCAAGGGCATGTACCTTGGTTGTGGGCACATCTCCAGTAGGGGGTGTGCAGGAGGCAGCTGATCGCTGTTTCTCTCTCATTGATGTTTCTGACACTCTATCCCTCTCCCTTCCTCTCTATAAAAAAATCAGTAAAATATCTTAAAAAGAAAAAAAATAATGGAGTGGCTTAAAGTCAATGGTGATGACTATCCTGTGAGTGGTGCCAGCTGAGATGACACACCTGGTGCAGTGTCTGACAGGCATGACCGTGCATGGCTGCTCTGCCCGGACACCGAGGCGGGCGGGGACTGAGATCGGGGGAGTGGGGAGCTGGGGCTGCCATGTCAGTGCCCTCCATTCAGACTCCAGCCTATGCCTCGCTCCTGAGTGTCCCATGTTCCCCTTGGCAGGTGACGATCAACTTGGACCAGTACATCTACATGCAGTTCTGGGCCCTGGGCCAGAGAGTCGGGAAGATGCCTCGCTTGACCAGCGCAGGCTCCAAGCGTTTCTTCTTCTACAAGTCGACCCCTGCAGAGAGGTGAGGCAGCGGGAGGGCCCACGGTTAGAGCTGAGAGGGGACCGACAGCTCAGGGTCTGGCTCTGGAGGTCTGGGCCCCGTGGGAAGTCGGGAAAGGGGGAGGGGTGAATCATCCCAATGCAGCTTCTTTTGAAAATATATGTATATCTTTATTGATTTCAGAGAGGGTGGGAGAGGGAGAGAGAGAGAAACATCACTGGTGAGAGAGAATCATCCATCGGCTGCTGCCTCCTTCCTGCAACCCCCACACTGGGACCAAGTCCACAACCTGAGCATGTGCCCTGACCGGGAATTGAACTGTGACTTCCTGGCTCATGGGTCGACGCTCAACCACTGAGCCACACTGTCCAGGCAAATCTGCTTGTTCTTCCCAAGGGAAAGTAGGAACTAGACTCCGCAGGGAAGGGACACTTCTCCCCGATTTCCAGATGAGCGAGCCGGGCTCGGAGCGGGAAAGCCACATTCTGAGAAGTGGTGCAGGCAGATCCTGATAATGTCACTTTTTTAAAAAAACAAACAAACATATTTTATTGATTTTTTTACAGAGAGGAAGGGAGATGGATAGAGAGTTAGAAACATCAATGAGAGAGAAACATTGATCAGCTGCCTCCTGCACACCCCTTATTGGGAATGTGCCAGCAACCAAAGTACATGCCCTTGACTGGAATCAAACCTGGGACACTTCAGTACGCAGGCCGATGCTCTAACCATTGAGCAAAACCGGTCAGGGCTAATGTCACCTTTTTAACAGGATACACAAACACAGAGCCACCCAGGAGAGCCAGGCCTCTCACGGCCAGCCCCTGGGCCTGTCCGCGGCCCAGTCTTTCTGGAAATCAGTTTATCAACTATGGTCACGAATCCAAAACACCAAACCGAAACGAAAGCCAAAAAACCCTTTACCTCCCCCAAACCAGCAATGCCCTTCCAGGACTCTCCTCCAAGGAGGTAGTGACACTCGCAGTGTGTGCTTCACCGTCTCTTCCGCTGCTCACATGGCCCCATTCTGTGGGCTCACAGCACTGCCTGGCTCCCAGCAGCCACGGCGAGAGATGCGGGGTCTGACATTGACAATGAACTGAATAAAAGCGTTTTGCTCAGCTCCTCTTGTCGACTGCATGCCATCAGCAGCAACCCCGCGTCCAATCGTAGGGACTGTGTTATGTACCCGATCCCCTGTTGCTGGGTTCTGAGCTTAGAGCTGACTTCCTGCCCACCACGGTGCAGCAGCCTTTAAAATGACGGTGCCCTAGCCGGCTTGGCTCAGTGGTTAGAGCATCCGCCTGCGGACTGAAGGTTCTCAGGTTCAATTCCAGCCCAGGGCACATGCCTGGGTTGCGGGCTCGATCCCCAGTAGGGGGCGTGCAGGAGGCAGCTGATCAATGATTCTCTCTCATCGTTGATGTTTCTCTCTCTCCCTCCTTCCCCCTTCTTCTCTGATATCAATAAAGAAATATATTTTTAAAATTAAAATGGCCGAGGCCAGTGACTCAGTGGTTAGGGCGTCGGCCTGCGGACTGAAAGGTCCCAGGTTTGATTCCGGTCAAGGGCATGTACCTTGGTTGCGGGCACATCCCCGGTGGCAGGTGTGCAAGAGGCAGCTGGTCGATGTTTCTCTCTCATTGATGTTTCTAGTTCTCTATCCCTCTCTCTTCCTCTCTGTAAAAAAAAATCAATAAAATACATTTTTTTAAAAAGAAAAGAAATATACTTAAAAATAAATAAATAAAATGGCTGTGTGACGGCAGAGCCGAGCTAGCTGACCGCTGGCCTCCGTCTGTCGCCAGGCGGTACTTTAAGCGGGTGGTGCTGGCGGCCCGGACGAAGCGGGGGCACCTGGTGCTGAAGAGCTTCAAGGACACGCCGCTGGAGGGCCTGGAGCAGCTGCTGCCCGAGCTGAAGGTGCGCACGTCCGCGCTGCAGCGCACCCTGCTCAACCTCTTCCTGGTCGTCTCGGGCGTGGCCGTCTTCGTCAACGTGGGCATGGTGGTGCTCACCGACCTGAAGATGGGCACCTCGCTGCTGCTGCTCTTCTTCGCCGCCTTCATGGGCGTGCGGGCCACCAAGGTGAGCCGCCGCCCTGGCTGCCGGGCCCTGCCGCTCCGCACTCGGCCGGAAGGTCTGACCCCCGTGTTTTCACCTATTTCATGTGCTGTTCCTGCCTCATGGGGTGCCCCTTCCCTTCCCTTCCCTTCCCTTCCCTTCCCTTCCCTTCCCTTCCCTTCCCTTCCCTTCCCTTCCCTTCCCTTCCCTTCCCTTCCCTTCCCTTCCCTTCCTCTCCCCCTCTTCTTCCCCTCCCCTCCCTTTTTCTCCCCTCCCCTCCTCTTCTCCTTTCCTTTTCTACCTTATTTACTCACTGCAACCTTGCGCAGGTTTCTTGATCTCTCTGTGCCTCAGTTTCCTCATCTGGAAATGGGGGTAACAGTGAGACCCCCCCTCACAGGTTTGTTATGAGGATTAAATGAGCGAAGCCGTGAAGAGCACTGGGCACAGCGCCTGGCGTGTGGTAGGCGCTACAGTTGTGTTCACAGCTACTCGCTGAGCGGCCCTTAGTGACAAGGGGGTGAAGGTTGTGTTTTAGAACCAGACTGCCTGGCTGTGACTTGAGCTCCACCGACTTCTGGCTGTGTGACCTTGAATAAGACGCTTAACCTCTCTGTGCATCTGCTCCCGTAACTGCAGAGTGGGGGTGCCAGTGGGACCTAACTCCTAGGGCTGTTTGTGGGGTTACATTAATGATACATACGGTGCCGGGAGCAGAGCCTGACGCTCAGTACAGAAGGTGCTGCCTGCGCGTTGGCTGTTGCCACCGTTATTCCTTCCTGGGAAATAGTGTTCTGAGTGGGGGCTTTCCCATTCTGGCCAGTGTCACTACCACCAGGGAGCTGTTTGAGGAATAGATATTTTTTATTTGATTGATTGATTGATTGATTGATTGAGAGAATTACATTGATGTGTTGTTCCACTGATCAGTGCATTCATTTTTTTATTCTTTTTAAAAAATATATATTTTATTGATTTTTTTACAGAAAGTAAGGGAGAGAGATAGAGAGCTAGAAACGTCAATGAGAGAGAATCATCGACCAGCTGCCTCTTGCACACTCCCTACCGGGGATGTGCCCGCAACCAACGTACATGCCCCTGACCGAATCGAACCCGGGACCTTTCAGTCCGCAGACCAACGCTCTACCCATTGAGCCAAACCGGTTTCGGTGGTGGATTCTTTTTTTTTTTTATTTTTAAATACATTTTATTGATTTTTTTATAGAGAGGAAGGGAGAGGGTAGAGTTAGAAACGTTGATGAGAGAGAAACATCGATCAGCTGCCTCCTGCACACTCCCCACTGGGGATGTGCCCGCCACCAAGGTACATGCCCTTGACCGGAATAAAACCTGAGACTCTTCAGTCTGCAGGCCGAGGTTCTATCCACTGAGCCAAATGGGTCAGGGTTGCTGATTCTTGAACGTGTGCCCTGACCTGGGATTGAGCCCGCAACCTTGGCGTATCTAGACGATGCTCTAACCAACTGAGCTGCCCAGCCAGGGCCAGGATAACTGTGTTATTTTTATTTTTTGAATATGCTTTTTTTTAAAAATTGATTTTAGAGAGAAAGGGGGAAGGAGAGAGAGGGGAAAAACAACATTGGGACTGAGCTCACAACCCCGGCCTGTGCCCTGACTGGGATTCACACTGGCAGCCTTTCGGTGCACGGATGATGCTCAGCCAGCTGAGCCCCCAGCCGGGGGAGCTGATATGAATGCAGCCTCTCGGGCTCCAGCCCAAATGACTGAATCGGAGCCTGTGGGCCCGGGGCCCGGGAAGCTATTTTTAACCTGCTCTCCTCGCCTCGGCCACGTGTGCGTGCGGGGCAGCAATTCCGGAGCGCAGGTTGTTCACCATCTTTGGATCCGAGGCCAGAGGACAGGTGGCAGCTGGCACCCAACTTGAGCTTTGATGGCTGAGCCCTGTGTCCTGTCTCAATGCCGAGGGGCCCCCCCGAGGGGCTGCCTGGTTCTGATTTTCTCTCCCCCCGCACCCCCCCCACCCCCCGGCCAGCACTCGCCCTGGGAGTGTGCACTGGCAGACAGCTGTTGTGCCCGATCTCTGGCTCGTCGGTTCATTGGTTTGCAAGCTGTTTGCAGCCATCCCAACGGGCTGCTAGGAAGACGGGTCATAAATTCGGCAGATAACAGCCTGCTCTGCTGCCGGGAGTGGGGAGGGCCGGGGAAAGGCGCAGGGAGCAATCCTAGGACCAGGGACCACTTTGCAAGAGAGGGTTGAGCCGGTGGAGAAGGGGCCAGGCGAGCAGGGCTTGGGAAAGCTCCCAGGGCTTGGTCCAGAGCGCAGAGCGGAGAAGGGAGACCCCGGAAGTGGCAGGGGCCTTGGGTGCCAAGGGAGAGGCCCCGGGTTCTATCGTCTGGGCAGCCAGAACCCGGGGAAGGGTTGTAAGCATGAGGGAGTGGCTGACCCTGGGTCTCTGAAGGGCCCAGTTTAAAACCCAGTTCACCAGTTAATTAACTAGTTATTTTTTAAAGTATATTTTTATTGATTTCAGAGAGGGAGAGAGAAAGAGATAGAAACATCAGTGATGAGAGAGAATCAATTGGCCACATCCCACATGCCCTCTACCGGGAATCAAGCCCATAACCAGGGCATGGGCCTGACCGGGAATCGAACCATGACCTCATGGCTCATAGGTCGACGGTCAACCACTGAGCCACCCGGGCCGGGCTCGCTAGTTATTTAGCGTATCTGTGCAGTGTTTTCCCACACCCCGGCTGAGCCTCCAGGCCGTACATGTTGGCCCCCCCGGCAGCCTCTCCAGCTGCCCCCTCTGCACACACTCGGTCCCCCCTGCAGGTCGCTCCTAGATTGCAGTCCCCAAGCTCCTGCCCCACCTGCCACCTGGGCATGCCCAAACCCTTCCCATGTGCACCCCCCTTCGCGTGCCCCCCCTCCCCACACACACACTGGGCTCAGCATCTGTGTCTTCTGAAGCCCCTTCTCTTCTGGAGTCCCATCCGGGGACAGGCGCTCCGGTCACACACCCGAGAGGCCAGTTTTGCTGCTTTCTCTCCCTGAAAGAGCTCGGCCACTTCCTGCTTCCCACAGCAGCTCTCCTCCCTGGCCGGGTGCTGTCTCAGCCCTGAGCGGCCAGCTCGCCAGGCCCCCTTCCCACTGCTTCTCCATCTGCAGGGGGCCCTGTTGTCCCCCGCTCACTGGCTGGCCCCCTGACGTTGCCCAGGCCCTGCCTCCAGCCCATCCATCCCAGGCTCTCCTTCCTGCTTCCCTAGTCCCTGTGCCGTCTCCTCTCCTCGGCTCCAGCCCCAGCACAGACCCTCCTCCCAGCCTCCCTGGTCTCCTCCCGCCCATGCTGGTGGCCCAGGCCGGCCCTGCTCCCTCGCTCACAACCCAGCACCAGAGACCCTGTGACCTCATCCGTGTGACACCATTCCATGCTCCAGCTCCACCAGTGTATCCTGGCAGCACCCCTCCTCCGCTTCCCTTCCCTTCTCTCCCTTTGCACGTGCTGTTCCTCCTGCTGGCATGTCCTTCCCTTCCTGGGCTGACCGGCCCCGTTCACCCATCACCCTTCGCTCAGAGGCTCCAGAAAGCTTTCCTAGCCTCCCGGCAGCCAGGGGCTTCTGTGCCCGCCCCCCCTGCGCCCCCTGTCACCCCCCACCGCGCCCTGGTTCTCTGTGGGTGTCAGAGCACAGAGCACCCTGGGCAGCCTGGAGGGGCGGCGGAGCCGGTGCCCCAGAGACACATCAGGCGGGGCCTGCCCTAAGGGGGTGGTGCCCGGCGCCCCGACACCCTGCCACGTGCCCGATGGAGGCAGAAGCGGGTCCTTCAGGGACGCGGGCACATGCTGCTCATCTGTGGGAAGCCATGTCCACCCTGACCATGGACACTGAGGCATGAGTTGCCCTGACCCGCTGGGCAACAACGAGGGCACGTGGAAACCACCTAAGAGAATGAAACAAACAAGGAACCTGAAGAACGGAGGCAAGACAGGGTTCTGATCAAGCCTCAGAATTTTTATTCAAGAACATCGGTATATAAGCGCTCAGGAGGGGAAGGGAGGGGCAGGAGAAGGGGTTGTCACAAGGTGATTGGCTGGGTGCTGGGTACTTGTGCTTGGCTGGTTGGTTGTTGTAAAGTGGGAGGCTTATAGTCTTGGCGCGAGTGGGCTTTTTTGGTGCTCTTGCTCAACCAGGAAGTGGAACTGACCAGGAAGTGAGACCGGACTTTTTCCTTATGGCTCCCGGCAATGAGTGTTTTCTCTTTTTTTTTCTTTCTAAATAATAAATCTTTATTGTTCAGATTATTACAGGTGTTCCTCTTCCCCCTCCCCCATAGCTCCCCTCCATCTGATTCCCAACCCCACCCCACACCCTTACCCCCCACCCCTGTCTCCATCCATAGGTATACGATTTTTGTCCAATCTCTTCCCTCACTCCTCAGACTCCCTTCCCCCTGAGAATTGTTGGTCCAATCCCTTTCTATGTCCCTGATTCTGTTATATTCACCAGTCCATTTTGTTCTTCAGAGTTTTCATTTACTTGATTTTTAGATTCACTTGTTGGTAGGTATGTATTTGATGTATTTCTGTTGTTCATAATTTTTTACCTTTACCTTTTTCTTCTTCTTAAAGAATACCCTTCGATATTTCATGTAATCCTGGTTTGGTGGTGATGAACTCCTTTAACTTTTTCTTGTCTATGAAGATCTTTATCTGACCTTCAATTCTGAATGACAGCTTTGTTGAGTAGAGTAATCTTGGCTGTAGGTTCTTGTTGTTCATCATTTTGAATATTTCTTGCCACTCCCTTCTAGCCTGCATGGTCTCTGTTGAGAAATCAGCTGAGAGTCGTATGGGTGCTCCCTTGTAGGTAACTAGCTGTTTTTCTCTTGCTGCTTGTAAGATTCTCTGAGGCATGAGTGTTTTCTAAGAATGGCCCAGAGGTGGCGTGGCCTGTTCCAGGCTTGGAGGCCTGAGAGCAGGTGTGCTCGGGGTGGAAGCTGCACTCAGAGGGGAGGGGAGGCCAGTGGGAGAGACACCCGGGGCCAGGCCAAGGAGCTCGGGCGCTGAGGGCCCTGGGGGCCATGGGAGGTACGGGTAGCAGTGGAGGAGCAGGGTCGCTGTGCAGGGACATGCCCTGCTGTGCAGGGACAGACTGGAATGGGAGATGGAGGACAGAGAGGAGGCTGGGGAGGAAGGAATGGCCGAGAAGACAGGAGGACCGGCCAGGGACTGACAGGCTGGTGGGGTGGGTAAGGACAGCGCCAGGGGTCTGGCCTGTGACTGGGTACTTGGTGGGGTTACCCCAGATACGGAGCCCAGGGGAGGAGGGAGGGTTGGGCCGGGGTTCGGGGACGGCCGCCCTCGGCGTGGGCCCCGGGGAGTGTGAAGGGCACATGCAGGTGCAGGGAGAAGTCTCCGGGGAGAGGTCAGATTGCCAGATCGCATCTGTGTGCGGAGAGCGGTCTGACCGACTCGCTTGACCCTTGAGAATTCGCCCCCTTTGCTCGGCGGGAGCAGACGGACCCGATGTGTTTTCATGTCAGCCGGTCCCGGCCCTGCGTCTCGCCTTCAGCCGCAGGAATGGCGATTCGTTCCAACGCAGGCGCACAGCCAGCCGCTGGGCTCCGAGGAAGAGCCACAGTCCGCCCGCAGGCCAGGCCCATGGTTTCTGCGGGGATGGTGGGGAACGGGGGTGGGGGTGGGGTGGGGGGGAAAGGGGGGGTGGGGGGGAAAGAGGGGGTGGGGCGCTGACTCGAGGCATTTTGCCTGGGCCTCAGCCTAAGATGGGCAGCACTCTGGGGGGGGTGGCAGTCAGTAGTGTGGATGAATAGTCGGTAGCAGCTGATGTTTAACTGCCCTTCTGGGCGCTGGCTCTGTGCCTAGGGTTTCAGGAACTAAGTTTTGACTTCCTGAGCACTTCCTGTCATCTGCCTGTCTTGGGTGTTTGCCCAGGGGGGTCCCAGCCGGTAGGGGGCAGAGTTAAGACACATTTCGAGGATGCGGCAGCCGGGAGCCGATGTTCTGGCTGAATGGAGGAGTTCGGTGATGGTTTCAGTGTAAGCCCTGCGGCGTGGTGGCTCTCAGTCCCCTCCTGAGGGACAGGACGGGGAGAGGCGACCAGAAAAGGAGGGGCCGAAGAACAGACGCAGGGAGCAGACAGCAGGGCCCAGGCCTGCCCTTCTCTTCTCCCCTCAAAGCTGCTTGCTCTTCGAATATTATTTTTTAAATCCGCACCCAAGGATATGTTTTCTTTTCTTTCTTTCTTTCTTTTTTGTTGCTGTTAATCCTTACCCAAGGGCATTGTCTCCATTTTTAGAGAGAGGAGAAGGGAGGGAGGGAGGAAGGGAGGGAAGGAGAGAGAGAGAAGCATAGATGTGAGAGAGAGAGACACATGGATTGGTTGCCTTCCAGACGCACCCCAGCCAGGACTAGGCATTGAATCTGCAACCCAGGTACATGCCCTTGACTGCAAATCAAACTTGAGACCCTTCCGTGTACGGCTAATATTGTAATCACTGAGCAACACTGGCCAGAGCCAAGAGTATGTTTTCATTTGTTTTTAGAGAGAGAGGAAGGAAGGGAAAGACAAACACTGATCAGTTATTCATCAGTTGCCTCCGGTACATGTGCACTGGGGATCAGATCTGCAATCTAAGTATATGACCTAACCAGGAATTAAACCTGCAACCTTTGAGGTGTATGGAGGATGCTCCAACCAATGAGCCACCCAGCCAGGGCTGCTCTTTGAGTATTTTTGTCTGTTAGCACTTCTCTTTACTATTTACTATTTTAAACCTTTTTATTGATTTCAGAGAGGAAGAGGGAGAGAGAGAGATAGAAACATCAATGATGAGAGACTCATTGATCGGCTGCCCCCTACTGAGGATCGAGCCCACAATCTGTGCCCTTGGCTGGAATCCAACTTAGGACCTTTCAGTCCACTGAGCCAAACCAGCCAAACCAGCTAAGGCTAAACCTTTTTTTTTTTAATTATGGAGAAGTTTTTTAAAATGCAGAAATAACATTATATGATGAGATCGCATGTAGCCAGCATCCAGCATCTACAATTAGCAATAGTCCGTCACGTTTCACCTAAAGATCCTGCTCTCTCCCTACTGAGTTATTTGGAAGCAAATCCTGGCATAGCAGCTGCAAATACTTTAGTATTTGTCGAAAAGATAAGGACTTAAAAATAATTGTAGCAAAAGTTCCAAGGCTAAAGCTGCATGGCTTGAAAATCCTTGAACCAATCCATTAATGCATGGTTCCGATGAGCATACCTGCACAGCAGCTGCAAATTGTTAGAGGCCTCAGATTCATCGGGTTGAGAAGGAATAGATTAAAAATACAGCCGGCACCGGTTTGGCTCAGTGGATAGAGCATCGGCTTGCGGACTGAAAGGTCCAGGGTTCGATTCCGGTCAAGGGCATGTACCTTGGTTGCGGGCACATCCTCAGTAGGGGGTGTGCAAGAGGCAGCTGGTCGATGACTCTCTCTCATCGATGTTTCTAACTCTCTTTCCCTCTCTCTTCCTCTCTGTGAAAAATCAATAAAATATATATTTAAAAATACAAATAGCGGGTCCTAGCTGGTTTGGCTCAGGAGATAAAGCTTTGGCCTGACGACTGGAAGGTCCCCATTAGATTCCAGTCAAGGGCACGTGCTTGGGTTGCGGGCTCGATCCCCAGTAGGGGGCGTGCAGGAGGCAGCCGATCAATGAGTCTCTCTCATTGATGTTTCTGTCTCTCTCTTCCTTTCCCTTCCTTTCTGACATCAATAAAAACATTTTTAAAAAATACAAATAGCCTTAACTGGTTTGGCTCAGTGGATAGAGCCTTGGCCTGCAGACTGAAGGGTCCCGGGTTCGATTCCGGTCAGGGGCATGTACGTTGGTTGCGGGCACATCCCCGTTAGGGGGTGTGCAAGAGGCAGCTGGTTGATGTTTTTCTCTCATCGACGTTTCTAGCTCTCTCCCTTCCTCTCTGTAAAAAATCAATAATATATATATATATATATTAAATATATTTTATTGATTTTTCACAGAGTTGAAGAGAGAGGGATAGAGAGTTAGAAACATCAATGAGAGAGAATCATCGATCAGCTGCCTCTTGCACACCCCCTACTGGGGATGTGCCCGCAACCAAGGTACATGCCCTTGCCCGGAATCGAACCCGGGACCTTTCAGTCCGCAGGCCGACGCTCTATCCACTGAGCCAAACCGGTCCTGGCGATAAAATATATTTAAAATAAAATAAAATAAAATAAAATAAAATAAAATAAAATAAAATAAAATAAAATAAAATAAAATAAAATAAAATAAAAAAATAAATAAAATAAAATAAATAAAATAAAATAAAATAAAATATACAAATAGCCGGGCCCTAGTCCTGGGGACCTGAACCAGCAGATCTGGGGAGGGCTCAGGAGTCCGCCCAAAGGGCCCTGCCCGCGAGAGAGTGGCAGAGGGGTGTGGGTGCGGGTCCGAGCCGCGCTGTCCCGCCCGCAGATGTTCGGGCAGCAGCGCAGCGTGCAGGCGCTGGAGCTGGCGCACATGCTGTACTACCGCAGCACGTCCAACAACTCGGAGCTGCTCAGCGCGCTGGCCCTGCGCGCGCAGGACGAGCACACCAAGGAGGCGCTGCTGGCGCGCTCCTTCCTGGCCCGGCGGCCCCGTGGCGCGGGCGGCTCGCCCGAAGGTAGGACCCCACCCTGGGGCGCCCCTTCCCCCCACCCGGACCCCTTCGCCCCCACCCCTGCGGCTCCCACCAGCCCCGCCCCGGATCCCAAGGACTTGCCTCCGGGAGGCATCCTCCCCACGCCGCCCGCCCCCACTCCCTGCTCCAGATGGCGAACTGACCTATTCCCAGGCGACACCGGCCCTCGGCAGACGGGACCCCTGAGCCCAGTTTACAATTAAAAAAATTTTTTTATTATGATATCACATAATTGTCCTCATGCCCCCCATTCCCATCCCAAACCCCTCCCCACATATGCCCCCCCCCCCTGTAGTCCATGGCCACTGGCTAGGCCCACCTGCATGCACACAAGTCCTTTGGCTGATCTCTTCCCCTTTCCCCCACCCTCCCCTCCCTTCCCTCTGAGGTTTGACAGTCGGATCGCTGCTTCTCTTTCTCTGGGTCTGCCAGTTTACAATCTTTTTTTTTTTTTAAATATATTTTATTGATTTTGTACAGAGAGGAAGAGAGAGGGATAGAGAGTTAGAAACATCGATGAGAGAGAACCATCGATCCGCTGCCTCTTGCACACCCCCCACTGGGGATGTGCCCGCAACCAAGGTACGTGCCCTTGACCGGAATCGAACCCGGGACCCTTCAGTCCGCAGGCCGACGCTCTATCCACTGAGCCACACCGGTTTCGGCCCAGTTTACAATCTTGATGGACGTGGTTTCTCCGCCGGGGGACGTGGTTTCTCCCTTTCCTGGCCTCAGCCTCCGTGTGGCAGGTCCCCAGTCCCGCCCCCCTATTCTTCCTGTACGAGCCTCCACTTTCCCTACAGGAGACCTGGCCTTTCCAACAGGAGCCCCACGCCTTCCTGGCTTGGCCCCACATGTGAGGTCCAGAGCCTCCCCTGCAGGCCTTGTCCCCCTCCCGTCCCAGCCCCTCCCAAGCCCAGGCCCTTCCTTTCCCTGCACCCCTTCCCCCCTTCCAGGCCCCTCGGACCTCACACTGCCTCTCCCCTCACAGAGACCTCCCAGTGGCTCCAGACGGAGGTGGAGAACTGGCTCCTGACCCAGACGGGCTGTGCCGTGACCTTCAACGCAGCTCGGGCCCTGGGCCACCTGCAGGCCCTGACGGAGAGCACTGGAACGTTGCCGCCTTCGGGTTTCCCCAAACTGGACCCGCCGGCCACAGACACTCCCCCGACCACAGACACTCCCCCGACAGGCCCCGCCCCGCATGACCGCCCGGCGGGAGGCCTCTAGGTCCTGCCCGGCCCCGCCCGGCCCCGCCCGGCCACCTGGTCAGGCGCTAAGCCCGCCTCCTCCAGGCAAACCGCTCACCGCTGCTCCGAAACCTTGCTGCTCTAGTTTCTGATGTTACACTGTGTCCTGAAAACAAAGCCCCCACCACTCAAGACAGACTACACTGCTCCCCCCACTCCCCCGTGAACTGCGGGGAAGGTTTTTGGTTCTGAACCCCTACTCCCCTCCATCGCCCCAGCTGTAAACAACGACGTGTGGTTTCGGCTGATGGGGATCAGCCAAGCACAGCTGCTAACCCTGCTGACCACCTGGTGCGGCCGTTGGGCTGTGCCCTCCCGAGGCCACACATCATTGTCTTAGCCTGCTCTGGGCACGGTGCCCATCCTGCTCACCCAGGCGGAGCCGCAGCCAATGAGAGCCAGACTCCACGGCGGTGAGGCTTCTGGGCGCCCAGTTTGGGGGCAGCCAGTTGTCGCTGCATGGCAACCATCACAATTCCTAAGAGAAACCCGATCTTCCCGTCACTCGCTCTGCTTATAAGGCAGGCCACGGGGTCCACGGCGGGCCAGCTCGCCAGGCTGAGGGCTGGGAGCTCGTGCCCGCAGGAGCGGTGGGCCAGGAGGAACCGCCTCACCCAGGGTGCGGTTCCGCTCAGGCCCAGCAACCCCAGGTGCCTTCCCTGCCCTGTGCCCCCCCTTTCTACAGAAACTACCTCGCTCGGACCCTCCCTCCACCAGTGGCCTGTGCGATATTTATTGGTCTATCCATGTCCCTCTCCCAAAGGAATAAATCTTGTCTAATACTCCGGATGGATGAGGGGGTGGTTTGTAAGGGTGCCATCTGATTTTTGCTAAGGTGTCCGGGCTAGAGGCAGCAGTTGGGGACGAGGGGGAAGAGGATCTGGGGAGGGTTGGGTTGTAATGAGGAAAGACCTCATTCTAAGAGGGGAATGGGAACGTGTCTTCCCAGAGGAAGGCCAGAGAGAGACCTGCCATCTAGAACAACACCCAGGCCCTGCCCCGTGAGCGAGAGCGCCTCTTACACACAGAAGCGGGGACTGGAGACCAGACTCCCGTTCTTCCTCGGAAACCGGTGTCCGAAGGCTCCACTCGGGAGGAACCCTGAGACTTGAGATGGAAGGGCCCATGGCCTTGGGACCTCAGGCTCCTATGTCTGAGTTTAGAGGGACCTGGGGGCCGAGACTGGTTTGGCTCAGTGGATAGAGCGTCGGCCTGTGGACTGAAAGGTCCCAGGTTCGATTCCGGTCAAGGGCATGTAGCGTGGTTGCGGGCACATCCCCAGTGGGAGGTGTGCAGGAGGCAGCCGATCGATGTCTCTCTCTCATCGATGTTTCTAACTCTCTATCCCTCTCCTTTCTTCTCTGTAAAAAATCACTCTGAAGGCAGCACGGCGGGGGTGGGCTGTCCTAGCGGTCCATTCTCAGGGTGCCTCAGCAGCCCGGGTCCCTGGAGGAGGAAGGACGGAAGGAGCAAAGGCAGGTGGTTAAACGGTTTTATTCTCTGGAGGCGGGTGGGGTGAGCTGAAGGGGCGGGAGAGGGCAGGGCCGTAAGGGCAAGGCCACGGGCAGCGCTCACTCCCGCTTCCGAAGGTGGATGTAGGTGATGCCACTGGCCAGGGCGAGCGGGAAGGCCACCCAGGCCAGGACGAAGCAGTAACCGAAGCTGCCCCCTCTCGGGTACTTCGCCAGGATCTCTTCCACATGAATGGCATAGATCAGGGCCCCGGTGAACACTGTCAGGCCTGCGGGGAGACGGGAGCCAAGAAGACTGCATATCCCAGCAACCCACGGGGCAGAGTAGCGCCACCCGAGGGCAATGGGCAGCACCGCTGCATGCTGGGAGTTGTGGTTTGCTTCCCCCCCCCTCCCCCCCAGCTCTGCGCAACCAGGCTACTGCAGACTGGCCTTGGGCACTTCGATCCCTGGGTCCCCTTATCCTTAAAATGGGTCGGTAATAGCTACTCATTCGTCCATTCAGGGAATATTTTTGAGGGTCTACCAGCCAAGTGCGCAAAGAGTGCATTAATAAAACAAGACGGGCCGAAACCAGTTTGGCTCAGTGGATAGAGCATCGGCCTGGGGACTGAAAGGTCCCAGGTTCGATTCCGGTCAAAGGCATGTATCTTGCTTGCGGGCACATCCCCAAGAGGGGGTGTGCAAGAGGCAGCTGATTGATGATTCTCATTCATTTTTCTAACTCTACCCCTCTCTCTTCCTCTCTGTAAAAAAATCAATAAAATATATTTAAAAAAAATAAAAAATAAAACAAGACGGGCTTTGCAGGAACCTAAGAGAATGTTCCCCATATTTCGGACTATGATTAACTTAGTCCTTTTTGCACTTGAAGTGTAAAAAAAAAAAAAAAAAAAAAAGGAAAAGTACATAAAACTCCCTGAAGTGTCTGACACACAGTAGGTCCACCAGAAACAGCAGCTGGTGGCCATTATAATGACAAGACCGCTCTGATGACTCAAGAGTTCTGGGATGTTCATCAGCCACCTATCCCCGACTAGGCCCGCCTCCATCTCTGGGATTTCCATCATTTGCCCATCGACTTTCTCAGCCCTGGATCCCTGAAGCCCCAAGTTCCATCCCCCCCCTATGACTCAGCGACACAAAGCACCAGGGAGTCCCTGAAGGACAGCGGGGGGCCAGGGAGGCGCCTGGCACGGTCCGGGGGCTGTTGAGAATCATTTCCTTGTACCAGCGGTCCATTCTCAGGGTGCCCCCTCGCTTCCCCCCGGTTCCCAGGGAACAGTGCTTACTGGTGCACAGCTGGCAGATGCCCGTGGCGTAGAAGAGTCCCCCTCGCTTCATGTTGTAGAGCTGGAACATGAAGAGGATGAAGGACAGGCAGCAGAGGATGAGGGAGAGCACCATGAGGATCTGCACGGCCTTCAGCCAGCCTGCGAAGGGGAGGAGACCGGGGTGGAGGTCACCGAGGCCCAGGTCCAGCTCCACCTGCTCGCTCATCATCTCTACAACCCTCTCCACTCCTCCTCCCCCCAACTGAGAGCCTAGATACAGGTCTGGAAGCGTAGGGAAATCACAGCAGCATCGTCCGTCCCTGTAGCTTTGCTCAATCCCCCGGTCAATTTCAGAAGCTGCTCTACAGTCTTTAGGATTTTCTACGGAAACTCGGTTCCACTGGGCCAACACCGGTTTGGCTCAGTGGATAAGAGTGTCAGCCTGTGGATTGAAAGGTCCCAGGTTCGATTCCGGCCAAGGGCATGTATCGCGATTGCAGACACATCCCCAGTAGGGGGTGTGCAGGAGGCAGCCGATGGATGTTTCTCTCTCATCGATGTTTCTAACTCTCTATCTTTCTCCCTTCCTCTCTGTAAAAAAATCAATAAAATATATTAAAGGAAAAAAAAAAAAGAAACTCTTCCACTGGGAATAGAAACATGGTTACTTCCATCTTGTTGCTTTTTATTTCTTTTTCTTGCCTTATCACGTTGGCTACCTCCAGGACACCACCTGGGCCTAAGCCAAGAGAACAGAAATTCCCGCTTCACTCATAGGGGGAACGCATTTCATCTTTCACTTCCTTCTGACATAGAGATGTTTATAGATGCCACGTGCCCCTCTTTAGAACGCAGGGGCATCTGCCCCTGAGCCAGGGGACGGTTTGGCCCTGGCCCCGCCTCTTTAAAAACAGTGTGGTCCCAGCCCCACCGGACACGTCGGTCCCAGCCATCCATTCCGAACACCGTTCTCTCTCGTGCTTAGAAGAACTTTGGAAACGTAATTCCATCTTTGCGGAATCGTGGGAACATCCTCCCAATTTCTTAAGCCGGCAGCCTGGGCCCCCCCCCTCCTTCTGACTCGTAAGGTGGGGGGCTTTTAACGTATCCTCTTTAGAACGGAAGCATACTGCTCCCTGCCATAGAGACTGGTGGGCCCTCCATCGGCCCCACTCCCTCAGCACTAGGAGACATAGTCCCCGGGAGGGGAAGCGACTGGGGGTTCCCCTTCCCCTTGGCAGACCGGTCCCCGGTGCCCCTCACCATTCTCGCTGACATCACTGCAGTCCCACGTTTTGTTGATCCTGTTCCACATGCAGTCAGACCAGAGGTTCAGGGAGTCCTTCCCGGGGAGGGTCCACCAGGACTGGGGTGGGCAGAGAAACAGGGGCGGGCGTGGGGACGTGGGCGAGGCCAGGGGGCCTGTGGGAAGGCTTAGAGGAAGGCTGTGGTGCCGAGAAGGGGTTGCCCTGGGGCAAAACATGGGTTTAGCAGGAAAGGGGAAAGGGGAAGGGGAAAGGGGGAAGCATCAGAGGCAGAGGCAAGGGGAAGGAGGCAGGTGTCCGTAGAGGAGGGGTGTGGCGGGCTGCTCCCAGCAGGCTTACCTTGTCCAAAGTGGCCACGAAAAGCAAGATGAGGATGAGGATGTGAAGGGCAGAGACCACCACCAGGAGGAGGGACATGGCTGCGGCAGAAGCCTGGGGAAGGGGACGTCAAGAGATGGTCGGATCAGGAGGTTGGCACGGAGGTGGGGAGAGGGGGGTGAGATACCCAAATCCTCATGGAGAGAGGGGCTGGTTCCGGACCCCGGGGTGTGAGGGAAGAGGAGGCTGGGAGCCGGGGAGCCCGAATTCCCCAGGGGCTGGAGAGGGCCGGGGACTGGCTCCGGAGGCCAGGAATGATCGGAACCCGCGATGTGCTTCACTCCGTGTCCCCAGAGCCCCGGCCTGGGCCAGGCTACCAACATGCAAGTTGCAACCCCTGCAGACTCCCCAGAAGCTGCAGGCGGGCTGCCCCCAGAGACAGGCATCCTTGACTCACCCCACCCCTCTCCTGGGGGGGGCGGGGGAGGAGGGGTTCCGGGTGAATCATGGGTGACTCATCCCACCCTCCAGCCTCCGAGGACCAGGGAAACCCCAGCCCCTGGCTGTGCCCACGAGGTCTCCGCCCCACCCTGCTGCCGGGCGGGCGCCTGCTGGGCACCCTGTTGGGGAAATGGACAGGACCTGTGTCTGGGGGGAAAGGTGTGAGAAGGAGGAACCAGCCTCCCTCCACCGTTCAGTGTCCAGAAAGGGGAGGGGGCCTGGAGGTTGCCCAGACTTGGGGTGTTCTCATGCAAAGTCCCGCTCTCGGGGTCCCCAGGGGCGGGTGGACATCGGGGGGTGGGGGTGTAAAATTGCAGGACATTATCAGATGAAGGGCTCTGCTGAGAACCCCACGCACACACACACACACACACACACCCAAAACCTTGCTGGGCCCCACCCCTTCCTGAATCTGCACCCCAAGGGCTAAGTGGTCATTTCTGACACTAAAAGTACTTCCATAGGGTTTCCCTCCCAAAAGGCCACACTCCCAAGTAAATAAAAAAATCCCAGCCCAGATAACGGACTGGAAACTTACCCAGAGCGGCAGAAGAAGTCAGAGTTTGGAGTCTGTCCCTCGCCTGGGCCTCCGTGCCCCGCCCTTCGCCTCCCTCCTTCCACCCGCCCAGGCCCCCGCCTCCCTCGCCGCCTTCCTCCCTCCCTCTCTCTCCTCTCTGGCTCTCTCCGTCCTTCTCCTCTCCAATCCTAGAACCCGTTCTCTCTCTCTCCCTCCCGCTCTCGTTCTGTCCTGTCCTCTCTCGCCTATACCTTTTCCTCCTCACTCTCCTCTCTCTCCTGGTTTCTCTTCCTCTGCTCCTCTCAATATATATACCGACCCTTTTATACCCACCCTCACCGCACCCAGCTGAGGTCTGCAGCCAGAGGGAGGGCCCAGGCTCTCTGGTTCTTCATTCTCCGCCCGCCCACTGCCCCCACAAGCGAATCGTTTGGGGCTCCCTCCCAGGGCTGAGATGAGACGTCCTGGGAGGGAACGGAGAGGAGCAGGGGCCCTGGGGTGGGGCAGCGGGGGAGGGAGGGCCAGATTCTCGGGCCTCCACTCTGGGTCTGGTCCTGGGACCTGGGAGCTGGGACCTGGGACCGGATGTCTGCTTTCCTTGATCGGCCTTAGGACTGGATATGCGGAGGGACGGGAGTTTGAGGAGGAGCCCAGATTCTTGCAGTGCGGAGTGGGCTGAGGGCTGGTGGATTTGGCGCCGTGGCTGTGGCCAGGGGATGGGGAATGTGGAAGTGGGGAGCGGTGGAAGGGAGCAGGCAGTGGAAGTTAAGACCATCATTTCCTGTCTGGGGGCGGGGGGGGGGGGGCCCTTGACCAATGATGCCCACTCTCTGAGCCTCAGCTTCCTAACCTGCGGGTGTAGGAATACTACTAATACTGACAATCCACTAATACTGATAATAATAAGTCCCATACGTAATCTAAATGAGTAAGATAATACCAGTCCATTAACACACCTAACACACTCGTTCCTTTCTCCATGAAACATTTATTGAATATCTATTATGAACCAGGAGTTAATGCACACAAAGAACCAAAAACAAAACAGATGTGAGCCGATGATTAATTACTGTGGAGCTTACCTTCCTAGCGGAGGGAGACAGACAATAAAGAGAAAACACCAACACACAAGAGACGTTTCAGCCCTAATATGTTTGGCTCAGTGGATAGAGCATCGGCCTTCAGACGCGAGGGTCCCGGGTTCGATTCCGGTCAAGGGCATGTACCTTGGTTGCGGGCACATCCCCAGTGGGGGGGGGTGCAGAATGCAGCTGATGGATGTTTCTCTCTCGTCAATGTTTCTAACTCTTTATCCCTCTCCCTTCCTCTCTGTAAAAAGTCAATAAAATATATATTTTTTAAAATACACGAGACATTTAGACAATGATGAAGACTTTGAAGGGAACAAAACAAAACAGAGTGATGGAGACAATGACAGCATGAGGGGAACCTATTTTACACAGGGTGACAGGCCAGGCCTCTCCGAGGAGGTGGCATCTGAGCTCAGGCCGAAGACAGGAGCCATTTGAAGACGGGGCGGAGAGCACACGCAGAGGCTCTTGAGAACAAGCTCAGGTTGTTAGAGGCGCAGACAGAAGGGCCAGTGTGTCTGGGATATAGGGAGCCGGAGGGAGGGCAGGGCGGGAATCAAAGAGGGCCCTTGAATACTCGGGGAGGAGCCTGGACTTTTATTCTAAGTGCAATCAGAAGTCACCGGGAGGTTTCAAACAGAAGTGCGGTACCAGCGATTTAACGCGAACTCTTACTGTTGTTTCCTGGGTGATTGGATGTGGGATGGTTTCTATGTTCCTGGGTTTCTTAGAAGAGTTGGGTGTGATGGTGAAAGAGCGAGGGACAGGGGTTCTGATATGAAACTGAGAGCTGGAAAACGGAAATGGAGTGATAGCATGATCGGAAGGAAACGGGATGATAGCCTGTCTGGGTATCTGATGGGGCCAGAGCTGGCGGAGGGAGCGAGATCAGCCAGTGAGCTCCCTGAGGGCACGTTAGTGATTGGGTGGGTACTTGGGGAGACTTGGAAGCTGGGGTGCCAGGGCAGCATTGACTCTAGAAACACACTGGCTGGCTTCAAATCCAAGATGTTTTACTCACTAGCGGTAATTTTGGCAAAAATGGGGATAATAGTGAGTGCATCATAGGGTAGTTTTTAGAGTAGTGCTGGCACCTCATAAACACTATTGTATGTGTTAGTTATACCAGGTATTGGGGGCCTGAGTGGATTCAGTACTGGGGGACCCTAGATCAAGGTCTTGAGAATCTGGGAAAGGGGCAAAATATTGGGTCCCAAGACGAAAACGTTGGAGTATAAAATGAGGGTCCCTGGTGTCAGGGAAATCTGTCTTTCAGAAGGAGAGAACTGGGGGGTCTGAACTCAGAACCGCAAGCAAGTTAGAAAGCCTGGGTCACTGAGGGAAAAACTGGGGGCTAGAGGGTCACATGCTTTTCAGGGAGTGCAGGCAAAGGGGGCCAAGGGGCTGCACCAGGTCTGGGGAGGAGTCTAGGAACCAGGAGTTAGGGAGATGGAAATTTGAGCGGGGGGAGGAGGAGAACAGGGGGAAGGGCTCTGAATCAAGTTCCCTGAATGGTATCAGCACGGTACTTGCTCTCCTGGGGTTGTTCAGGGGGTCCCCCATGTTAGGGCCCTGTGCAAGGGGAAGAATCTGCGGATCTGAGAGCGGTGGAGGGATCTCCCCTTCCTGGGCCTCCAACGCTGCGTGCAGAGCTGAGTGCCCGCGAGCCGCTTCCTCCCACAGGAAACCGCAGCTTCAGGCACACCCAGCTTGCAGGGAGCTTCGCCCACTGCCCGCCCGCTCCGGGGAGGCCCACGTGGGCAGCAGCAGACCGCTGAGGGGGTGTGTCCGGACAACGGGGGCTGGCGTGGCGTGCGAGAGGCCACGCCCACTTCCGTTTCTCAGTGGGCGGAGCCTGGGCCTTAACGGGTTTTGGCGGTTTCTCTGGAGGCTCTTGGCCGCGCATGCGTGGTGAGCCTCTGCGAGGCCCTGAGGTAGCGAGCGCTCCTCTCCTTCACAACGGGCGTCGGCCCCGCCTCCTTGCTAACGAGTCCTCAGGATAACGTGGCCTTCGCTTCAGACACGCTTCTCTCGGGCTGCCGCAGAGCCTCCCAACGCAGGCTCTTTCAGCTCCTGCCTCCCACTCCCGGGTACACACACCCGGCTTCCCAGGCCCGCGCACGCAGGTTGGCCACTCCGACCACCCACAGGTCCAGCCAGAGCGCCGGCCGGCTAGCCCCGTCCCATCAAGTCTTGGGAACCAGAGTCCTCCCAGCGTCCTCTCGCTGGGCTCCTCGCAGGTTCTTCCAGGCACGCCCCTCCCTCGCTGGCCCCTGACGCCCCGCCCTCCTCAGGTACCTGCCCCCAGCCCTCGCCGCCGCAACCTGCAGACCCTGCCAGCTCCGCCCCGCCCCTCAACACCTCAGCCCCGCCCCGCCCCTCAACAACTCAGCCCGCCCCTCAACCCACCCAGCCCCGCCCCTCAACCCATTCCAGTTCCACCCCTCAACCCATCCCAGCCCCGTCCCTTAACCCATCCTAGCCCCGCCCCTCAATCCACCTAAACCCCGCCCCTTAACCCATCCCAGCCCCGCCCTTCAATCCACCTAAACCCCGCCCCTCAATCCACCTAAACCCCGCCCCTCAACCCACCCAGCCCCGCCCCTCAACCAACCCCGCCCCGCCCCTCAACCCATCCCAGCCCCGCCCCTCAACCCATCCCAGCCCCACCCCTCAACCAACCCAGCCCCGCCCCTCAACCCCGCCCCTCAACCCACCCAGCCACGCCCCTCAACCCACCTCAGCCCCGCCCCTCAACACATTCCAGTTCCACCCCTCAACCCATCCCGACCCCGTCCCTCAACCCATCCCAGCCCCGCCCCTCAACCACCTCAACCCCGCCCTTCAACCCATCCCAGCCACGCCCCTCAACCACCTCAACCCCGCTCCTCAACCATCCAAGCCCCGCCCCTCAACCATCCAAGCCCCGCCCCTCAACACTCCCAGTCCCGCCCTCCACGCCTGCCAGTCCCTCTCCTCAACCTAGCACCGCCCCTCTCCGGTCTCCAGTTCAAAACCCCGCAGATCCCAGCTCGTCTTCTCGCCTCCTCCGGGGCCACGCCTTCCAGTTTCCCCTCCCACGTCCTCTCCTTGGTCCTGGTCCCTCCCCTGCCGCTGTACTCAGGCCTCATTGGCCCCTTATCTCCCCAGTAACCAAACCACAACAGTGAGCTAGGAGCACCAAGGCCGGACAAGCTAGGCATTCCACCAGGTAGGGCCTGGGCCTCACTCTGCACGGGGTTCCCTTTCCTCTGTGATTCCTCCCCAAACAGCCCGCCTAGAGGAGAGCCTAGGGGGCCGCCCGACAGGCGCGGTTGAGGGTCGAGCTATGAACCACCAGGAGACCACGGTTCCATTCCCTATAGGACACATGCCTGGGTTGTGGGTTCGCTATCCAGAGTGGGGCGTGCAGGAGGCAGCTGATCAATGATTCTCATCATTGATGTTTCTGTCTCTCCCTCTCCTGTCTGAAATCAATAAAAATATATTTTAAAAAAAGGAAAGCCTAGGGGACCTGTATCCCTGCCAGAGGCCAGAGTCAGAGCCGTGATGCGAGACAGAATGTAAGAGACAGGAGGTTGAGAGGAATGTGGGGAGAGCCCTGAGAGGTGTCCCCCTTCAGTCCATGGGAGGAATTGAGAGTCAGAGAGCGGCCGGAGCTGGTTCTGGGGTGACCTTCTCATTCCTAGTCCCTAGCTCATTGCCCACCTCCTCCCCACCCTCTCCCACTCTCTGTCTGAAGGGGTGGGTCCCGAGTCGCCTCTACAGGATACACACAGTCTTTGGCTAAGATGGCTGCAATGAGCACCCGCTCCGAGGAAGGAAGCGAGGTCTTCCAGGAAGGAGTAGGTAAGTCCTACGCTCCTTATTCCTCTCATTCTTTCCCTTAGTTTCCCCCGGTTTCGGGTCCTGTGCTGCAGGCCTGTGGGGACAGGGAGGCCTCCCAGGAGCGCCCTCTAGTGGTGGCAGCGCATGTGTGAGCGTGGACTTGGAGCTGGGCATAGGAACTGGCAAAGCCTGGAGTGGGGTGGGGTGGGCCGGGCGGACTTCCTGCAGGAGGGGACGTGTGAGAGGAGCCCAGAGTTCCCCAGAAGGGGAGAAGAAGGGGAGAGTTTCAGCAGAGAGAGCAGCCAGCGGCTACAGCCTCTGCACTGCTGACACTTGTGCTCAGATTGTCCTTGGTGCTGGGGGCTGCCTCTACCCACTTACATGCCAGGAGCAACGCTCTGCACCTCCCCCAACCCCACATCGCAGCAATCAAAAACGTCTCCAGCCAAAACCGGTTTGGCTCAATGGATAGAGTGTCGGCCTGCGGACTGAAAGGTCCCTGGTTCGATTCCGGTCAAGGGCATGTACCTTGGCTGCAGGCACATCCCCAGTAGGGGGTGTGCAAGAGGCAGCTGATCAATGATTCTCTCTCATTCATGTTTCTAACTCTCTATCCCTCTCTCTTCCTCTCTGTGAAAAATCAATAAAATATATTTAAAAAAACAAACAAACGTATGGGCCTAGCTAATGGCCATGGACAACAGAGGGGTGGGGGCATAGGTAGGGAGGGGTTTGGGATGCGAATGGGGGAATGAGGACAATTATGTGATACCATAACCAATAAATAATTAAAAATAAATAAATAATAAATAAATAAACTGGGCATTCTAAAAACAAACAAACAAACAACAACAACAACAACAAGCCATCTCCAGACATCGCCAAATGGTCCCGGGGTGGGGGTGGGAGTGTATGTGGAACCACTGGGCCGTGGTAGGCGGCGAGCCGGTGGAGGAGACCTGGAGAGAAGGGTAGGGTCAGGTCATGTGGGTTCTGGAACACCAGGCTGAGGGGCTAGGAGTTGGTCCTGAGGGCGCTGGAGCCAGGAAGAGGCATGGTCCGCTCTGGTTGTAGGAAGGCCCTCTGGGGCTGTGGGAGGGTTGTGTGGGAGGTGGGGGAGGAGGCTGGGGTGATGGCCCAGACAGGAGGGGATGAGGCCTGGGCCTCAGGAGATGGGCTGAGAAGGAGGAGGCGGGAGGATGGGATTGAGGATGGCTGGGCAGCGAAGGCTGAAGGCGAGGGAGGGAGCAAGAATGCAGCCCTGGTCACTTTCCTCCGCTCCCCCAAGTGCCAGTCTTGTGAGGCGGGTCCCTGAGGACTGCCAGGCCTTCCGGGAGCGCCCTCTAGTGGGTTTAGCGGGTAAAGTCTCCAGGTCAGCTTGGGGTACAGGGGAGTATGCAGGGGTAAGAAAGCTTGAGGCAAACTACAGCAAAACCACTTATCTTTTCGTAAGATGCAGGACAAAGCTGACCACAACCTCCAGCCTGCAGTTTTCCACATCCCACAATGATTATACCAGCTGATTAGACACTTCCAAAGCAAAAGCTTAAATTCACTTTAAACATATAATGGGTTTAGCAATGGTATTTTCCCTCTATTATTTTGCTTAACTTTGTTAATTCCAGGGACGGGGTGGGGGTAGGGGTGAGAAAGAAGAACGTTTAAAATATAAGAGGGAATAAATTGGTTCACATTCCACAATAACTTGTTACAAAGCAACCGAAGGATTCGTTCACTCTTTGGCCAAAACCGACAAAAAGGAGGAATGATAAAATTGACAATTTCTAATATTCGGTGTTAGGCCTCTGTGACCTAAATATTTGTTTATTTAACTGAGGAAAACAAATAATCTTCGCACAGGATCTTCATAGCCAATTGGCTTGGAGATCAATGCTTCCCAGTGATACCAACAACAAGTAAGGCTTAACAACAAGACTGCACATACAGCCCACAAAGGGCTACACCAAGACTGTCCACCTCAGGTAACTGGGAGGCTGACTCACTGAACCATATAGGACACCTTAGCACACAAAGCCATCCAACCAACTCAGGGAAGCTGTGAAAATGCCGAGACAAGGAAATAGATCACAAACGAAAGAAATGGAGGAAAAGAAGAGACTGGATATAGATTTCAAAACCACGCTTATAATGTTTTTCAAGAATTTCCTAGAAAAGGTAGATAAGACCTATGAGGAGATGAAAAGGGATCAACAAGAACTAATAAGGGATCAACAAGAAATAAAGAATACATTGTCTGAAATAAAAAATATTATACAGAGTCCTAAAAACAGAATGGAAGATCCCAAGAATCAAGTCAAAGATTTGGAACATAAAGAGCCAGAAGACACTCCTCCGCAGAAGCAAGAAGACAAGAGAATCCAGAAAGTTGAAGATAATGTAAGAAACCTCTGGGACAACTTCAAGCGAACCAACATCAGAATTATGGGGGTCCCAGAAAATGAAAGAGAGCAAGATATCGAAAACATACTTGAAAGAAATAGTGACAGAAAACTTCCCCCACCTGGTGAAATAATTAGATTTACAAGTCCAGGAAGTGCACAGAACTCCAAACAAAAGGAATCCAAAGAAGACCATACCAAGACACATCATAATTAAAATTCCAAGAGCAAAAGACAAAGAGAGAATATTAAAAGCAGCAAGAGCAAAGAAGGTAGTTACCTATAAAGGAGTATCTATATGATTGTCAGCTGATTCCTCAACAGAAACCATGCAGGCCAGACGGGAATGGCAAGAAATATTCAAAGTGATGAATAGCAAGAACCTACAGCCAAAAATACTCTACCCAGCAAAGCTATCACTCAGAATCGAAGGCCAGATAAAGAGCTTCACTAATAAAAAAAAAAAAGCTAAAGGAGTTCATCACCGCCAAACCAGAATTATATGAATTGCTGAAGGGGGTTCTTTCGGAAGAGAAAGTAAGTAAAGATAAAAACTATGAACAGCAAATACGTAGCTATTAACAAGTGAATCTAAAAACCAAGGGAATTTAAAAAAATCTGATGAACAATATTAACTGGTGAATATAATAGAATCAGCGGTATGGAAGGGGAGTGAACTAACGATTCTTGGGAAAAGGGGAGATGGGGATGTGGGAAGAGACTGAACATAAACTGTGCACCTATGGATGAGGACAATGGGGGTGGGGAAAGGGCAGAGGGTGGGGTGGGAACCTGGTGGAGGGGAGCAATGGAGGGGGGGCGGAAATGAGGAACATTTGTAATAATATGAACAATAAAGATTTATTAAAAAAATAATCTGCACACAATCTAGGCGGGAGGAAATTAAAATGAATAAATAAAACGAAAGAAAGCTTGAGGCAGCCCGAGAGGAGTGCTGGAGACTGGGTCTTCAGTTGAGTGGCAGCCTGTGAGATCCTAAGGGACCCAGGATTCCGAGGGGGGTGAGGGGGCAGGGTCTGGATTCCTGCTGAGTGTCTTGCCTGGCCCCTCCCGTAGTGGACTGGGAGCTGAGCCGACTGCAGCGACAGTACAAGGTGATGGATGTTGAAAAGCGGGCCTACAACAGGGAAGTCCACCAGCGCATCAACAAGCAACTGTGAGCCAAGTGCCTGCGCGTGTGTGTGAGTGTGTGTGTGTGAGTGTGTGTGTGTGTGAGTGTGTGTGTGTGTGAGTGTGTGTGTGAGTGTGTATGAGTGTGTGTGAGTGTGTGTGTGTGAGTGTGAGTGTGTATGTGTGTGTGAGTGTATGAGTGTGTATGAGTGTGTGTGTGTGAGTGTATGAGTGTGTGTGAGTGTGTGTGAATGTGTGTGAGTGTATGTGTGTGAGTGTGTATAAGTGTGTGTGAGTGTGTGTGAGTGTGTATAAGTGTGTGTGAGTGTATGAGTGTGTGTGTGTGTGAGTGTGTGTGAGTGTGTATGAGTGTGTGTGAGTGTGTGTATGTGTGTGTGAGTGTATGTGTGTGAGTGTGTAGATATAAGTGTGTGTGTGAGTGTGTATGAGTGTATGAGTGTATGAGTGTGTGTATGTGTGTGTGTGTGTGTGAGTGTATGAGTGTGTATGAGTGTGTGTGTGTGTGAGTGTATGAATGTGTGTGTGTGAATGTGTGTGAGTGTATGTGTGTGAGTGTGTATAAGTGTGTGTGAGTGTGTGTGAGTGTGTATAAGTGTGTGTGTGAGTGTATGAGTGTGTGTGAGTGTGTGTGTGTGAGTGTGTGTGAGTGTCTGTGTGTGGGGAGGGGGGCTGTTAAGAGGCTGGGGGCCAGAATCGCGGGTCCAACAGGAGGCAGGCCCAGTGTTTCTGGCCTTTATTGATGCTGAGCTCTGCTTCTTCGCTGGCTCCCCCGCCCCTCCCCGGGCAGCGAGGAGATCCAGCGCCTGCAGGACGTGCGGAACAAGCTGCAGGTGCAGATTGGCATCGCCCAGAGCCAGGTCAAGCGCCTGCGGGACAGCCAGAGGCTGGAGAACATGAGCCACCTGCTCAAGTGCCGGGCCCAGGTGCAGGCCGAGGTCAAGGAGCTGCAGGAGCAGACCCGGGCCCTGGACAAGAAGGTGGGTCCTGAGACCAGGCTCTGTGGATCCTACTTAGGGGCAATGCCTTCGCCGCTCTGAGCCTCAGTTTCCTCCTCCGAAAAACTGGGTCATGGAGAGCAGGCGCCTGGGAGAGGGGTGCTGGGGCTCCCGGGCGGGGGGGCTGTGGGTGTTTAGGAAGGAGCACAGTCCCAAGATGCTCCGGGGCCGGGGCAGCGGAGGGGAAACCTGCCTCCGCAGAGCTGTGTGCCCACAGGCAAGGGTTGGCCTCTCTGGAGTGTAGTTCCTTCATCTGCCAGAAGAGGGCGTTGGTCATGGAGCGAGGTCAAGCCAGGTGTCCAACCCCACCTGACTCAAGGTCTTGCTATTTGACCTTGGACTTTTCCATGCCAACTGTTCATTCACGTTTTTATGACCGTTTCCCTTGCCTGGCCCCGCCCTCCGTGCACTGGGAGCTGAGCTGACGGCAGTGACAGTGATGGAGGGTGAAAGGGGCCTACAGCAAGGAAGTCCATCAGTGCCCTGGTCGGCAATGTGCGGCTCGCGAGCCACATGCGGCTCTTTGGTCCCTTGCGTATGGCTCTTCCACAAAATACCACGGCCTGGGCGAGTCTATTTTGAAGAAGTGGCATTAGAAGAAGTGTAAGTTTAAAAAAATTGGCTCTCCGAAGAAATTTCAATCATTGTACTGTTGATATTTGGCTCCGTTGACTAATGAGTGTGCTGACCACTGCCCCAGTGTGTCAATAAGCAATTGTGACTCATGCACAGATGCATGTAGCTATAAACATACACGCAGATATGCATCTGAATCAACGTTTAGTCAAATCATGCTTTTTTCTATGTGGGATTTCATTGTCATTTTTTTTCTCTACTCCTCACGAAAAAGTCGTTTGCGCCCTGGATGGTGTCACTCAGTGGTTAGAACATTGGCCCGAGTACCAAAGGGTCTTAGGTTTGATTCCCGGTCAAGGGCACAGACTTGGGGTATAGGTTTGATTCCTGGCTCCCATTGGGATGAGCGTGGGAGGCAACCAATTGATGTCTCTCTCTCACATCAATGTTTCTCTCACTCTCCTTTCCTCCTGCCCTTCTACTCTCTCTAAAAAGCAATGGGAAAAATATTCCGGGGTGAGGATTAACAACAACCAAAGTGGTTAGGCTAGACTAAGGAATTTCTTGCACAGCATGGAATCACAAACAGGAGGTTGAAATGTATGTGTCTTGGTGGTCTGCATTCATTTCCTATTGCTGCTGTAACAAATTATCATCAACTGGATGGCTTAAAATGATATACATCACCCAGCTGGTGTGGCTTGATGGTTGACCATCAACCCATGAACACAGAGGTCATGGTTCGATTCCCGGTCAGGGCACATGCCCAGGTTGTGGGCTCCATCCCCAGTGTGGGGCGTGCAGGAGGCAGCTGATCAATGATTCTCTCTCATCATTGATGTTTCTATCTCTCTCTCTCCTTTCCTCTCTGAAACCAATAAAAGTATATTCTTTTAAAAATCAGCCGAAACCAGTTTGGCTCAGTGGATAGAGCGTTGGCCTGAGGACTGGAAGGTCCCAGGTTCGATTCCGGTCAAGGGCATGTACCTTGGTTGCGGGCACATCCCCAATGGGAAGTGTGCAGGAGGCAGCTGATCGATGTTTCTCTCTCCTCATCGATGTTTCTAACTTTCTATCACTCTCTCTTCCTCTCTGTAAAAAAAATCAATAAAATATATTTTTTAAAAAGAAGAAGAAGAAGAAAGATCTTCTTTAAAAAAAAAAAAATCATACACAGCCCTAGCTGCTTTGCCTCAATGGATAGAGAGTCTGCCTGCAGACTGAAGGGTCCTGATTGGGTTTCAGCCAAGGGCACATGTCTGGGTTGCGGGCTCCATCCCCAGTAGGGGGCGTGCAGGAGGCAGCTGATCAATGATTCTCTCTCATCATTGATATTTCTATTTCTCTCTCCCTCTCTATTCCTCTAAAAAAAAAATCAATAAAATGTATTTTTTAAAAAATACACAATGATCTTATGGAGCTTGAGGACAGAAGTCCATAATGGGCCCCAGGGCACTAAAATCGGGATTTCTGAAGGGCTGTGCTCCCTCTGGAGGCTTCAGGGAGAATCTGTTTCTTGGCCTTTTCTGGTTTCCAGAGAGGCCACCTGTGTCCACTGATTCAGGGCTCCTCTCTTTACCTTCTTTTTTATTTTTATTTTTATTTTATCCTCTCTCTATCTTCTGAACCATCCGTGGTCAGTTGAGTTTTTCTTATGACCAGCGGAGTCTCCCTCTGACTTATGCTTTTATCATCTCTTCTCCTTTTCTGATTCTGACTCTCCTGCCTCCGCAGAGCTGTGTGCCCACAGGTTCTTTCACGCATAAGAACCCTTGTTGTTATGTTAGGCCCACCCCGATAATCCAGGATGGTCTCCCCATCCCAGCATCTCGAATGTATTAATATCACCTCCACAAAGTCCTTTTTGCCACTTAAGGTCACATAGTCACAGGTTATAGGGATTGGAATATGGACATTTTGTGTGTGGGGGGGTGTTATTCTGTCTACCACTGATTGGTTGTCTCCTGCACGCTCTCTACTGGGGTTTGAGCCTGCAGCCCACGCACATGCCCCTGAGTCTCCTGCACGCTCCCTGCTGGGGTTTGAGCCTGCAGCCCATGCACATGCCCCTGAGTCTCCTGCACGCTCCCTGCTGGGGTTTGAGCCTGCAGCTCACGCATATGCTCCTGACCAGAATTGAACCCAGGACCTTCGGTCTGCAGGCTGACGCTCTATCCACTGAGCCGAACCAGCCATGCTGGAAGCTGAATCTGGATTCACACACACCAAACTTTTGATTGCCTCTTGGTAGTTCAGTGGCTTAATGGATGTTGGCGGCTTGATTGGTTTTCCTTAGTCTCCCATGGAAAGTCACCAGAGTCAGGCCCAACCAGGATAATTTTATTCTCCGGACCCCATGGATTCCGTTGCCCTGACAAACTTGATTATGGAGAATTATAAGTCAGGTGGCGGATAGGGTCCCCAGGAGAGAGCTCTGTAAATTCCCCATAAGGTCAAGAGAGGATGTAGTTATCTGACAACATTCAATCACTCAACAAATATTTCTTTTCTTTTTAAAATATATTTTATTGATTTTTTACAGAGAGGAAGGCAGAGGGATAGAGAGTTAGAAACATGGATGAGTGAGAGAAACGTTGATCACCTGCCTCCTGCACACTCCCCACTGGGGATGTGCCCGCAACCAAGGTACATGCCCTTGACCGGAATCGAACCTGGGACCTTTCAGTCCACAGGCCTCTATCCACTGAGCCAGTGCTTTTTAACTACTTCTTTTGTCGTTTCTTCTCTTTATTTTCTAATAGTTATTGCTAATATGCTAATACAGGGAAATATCATTAACTTTGCATATTAATTTTGTATACAGTCACATTGCTAAAATACATTGTGAATTATAAGTTAGCTTTAGGTTCTCTTGGGTCTTCTAAAAATATATCATCTGAAATAATGACTATTTCATGTCTTCATCTCCAGTCTTTACTTATTTTTTTCTTTTCCTCACCATATGGCACTGGTCACAATTATACACATCCAGTCACAATTATACACATCCTTGTTGATGTGTATAATTGTGACTGGATAAAATCTCTAGTACAATGTTAAATAGAAGTCATGTTATTTGGACATCCTTATGTTGTTACTGATCTCAAAACTAATTTTTGTACATTTCACTATCAAATATGATGTTTGCTGTAGATGTTTTATAATTGCCCTTTATCAAATTTGGGGAACTTCCTTTTATTCGTGGCTCTTTGAGAGTTTTTAACATAAATGTATTTGCTGAATTTTATCAAATACATTTTTTATGCCTATACAGACTGGTGCTATGAACTGGTACCAGTTGAAGGATTGTCATCAGTCCTTGATGTGATCGGTTCCAAAACTGAGAGTAAACATTTAGAAACAGTCTCTAGGTTCTGTGGAAGTCACGTGTGGAGTCATACAACACACAAGCCTTTGGCGAGAGGCCATGTCTCACTCTATGTTTTTCTTGGCCAGTGTCTATTCTGCTCTCCGGTCTGTGAATGATATTTCCACTGGTTATAGAATTCTAAATTGCCAGTTTTCCAGATTTTTGGATTCTAGGACATCCTGGAATCTGTAGATATGTTCTTTCATTGGTTCCAGAATATTATCAGGTACTATCTTGTCACACATTACCCCTGTCCCCATTCTCTTTCTTCTTAAACTCTTATTCGATATATATACTTAAACTCGCTCTATCTGCAATGTCTCTTAAGCACCCTTCCATATTTCCTATCTTTTTGTCTCTCTGTGCTGGATTCAGGGGGTGAGTTCTTCTGAACAAATCCTTCCTTCAGCTTTCATCTGGCTTGTTACCTGCCTCTCCAGTAGAACATAAGGAGAGCGGGGCCCTTGTCTGTTCAGTGCTGTGTCCTCAGCCCCGACCTAGAATCGTGCCCGGCACTTAGTAAGCACTCAAGAAATATTTGTTGAGCCGAAACCGGTTTGGCTGGTTCGATTCTGGCCAAGGGCATGTTTCCATCTCTCTCCCCTTCTCCCTTCCTTTCTGAAATCAATAAAAATATATTTTTAAAAATTGAATGAAATAATGCTACCTACATAGTTTGCTTGCTCCCTTCAAATGTGAAATGCATCCTTGTTGATGTGTATAATTGTGACGCGTTCATTTTTTGCTGTTGTGTACTATTTCATTAATGTATTTATTCACTCAATATCGATGGGCATTTGGTTGGTTCCAGTTTGAAGCTGGTTACATGAATAATGCTTCTGTCAACATCCTTTTACACGGATCCTGAAGTGTACCTACACTCAGAAGTGTAGCTGCTGGGTGGGATAACCCTGTTTTTCTTTTGGAAGATGACTTTGGTTTACTTTCTTCCAGCACTGTTTCCATGGAAACCCACTGGGTTAAGGTACATAGGGGATATCAGCCGTGTTCCCAGGCAGCAATGTTCATTATTAAA